AGATTTCCTTTCGTGGATTGCAGAAAAAAGGAAGCTTGCAAGAAAAAAAAGTGATAATGAAAGATAATAATTCAGAATGTATGTGTAAATTAACTTTATAATAATGATAAGTCTTGCATTTGATATAGCTACTTATCATGTCATTGAAACGTCTCAAAGCTCTTCAAAGAAATATTGTAAAGTGGATTAACTGTGTATTTTATGCACAAAACACGGCCACCAATAGCGCTCAGCCATGTCCCACGAAAAGTCATGGATTGGGTGACCAAGTTATTATTATCTGGAAGGATTATTATCCCCGGAAAGAGATCCACCGATCGACTAACAACAGGGTTCCTACTTACTGCTAGGTAAACAGAGGTGTGTGGAGTAAGGAAACATGTCTAAGTTTTCACCCTGTCCAGGAACTTTATACACAAACTTGACAATTGAGGCTATGTTCCAACTAATCCTTATATCTGTTGAGTGAATGTGAACACCCAGTAATCTGTGGTTGAACATTCACGGTCAAGCACAAATATTTCATACGCCATTATTCTAAAAGGAGCAATATCCTCTGAACTGGCCCATCGAGATTGCAGTTCAAAAGCAATATAGATTTAAAGAAAATTATTCAACATTTTAATTTTTTTTCACAGTAAAATACAAGAGTGTTGCACATCAATAGTCACATCATTCGCCTGTAAAATACAGTCACTGCACTTCACAGTGTATCCTGTGAAGCGCTTTGAGATGTCTAGAAGATGTGAAAGACGCTGTACCAAGTACAAGAATTATTATTATTTATTATGCAGCAAATGTCTGCAGTCCACTGTCTGCCTTGCTGTCACAGTAAAATGTTACCTACCCGAATCCTACTAGAGAGCTTAAAACGATAAAGTGTAATATTCATCTAAGCAATTCTCAACCTTGTGTCTCTTTCCCATGGGAGTGTGGGGAAAGAGAAGAATATAGCCTTTCTGGGGAGGGGGGAGTAAAGAATAACAAACACCAGAGCATGATTATAAGGCACTAATCCCCTGGGATTCCAATGATATCATGAACCAAAATAGCAAAGATCAAAACGAATTACAAATCCCAAACAGAAACTGGTGCTTTGCCGTTATTTCTGCACATCAATTTCGACCCCCCACCCATCCCTCCCCAGCCCCAGTAAGTGGGTGCATTTCACTCCAGGTCCCTTTTCCTTTCGCCAAGGATAGGCACCTTGGCAAACCAACACACCCTCCTTGACTTGTGCCGAGATTCCACACCAAAAGGAACAAATCAACACCGCAGTCACTGCACGTTCCAGGATTGATCCAACTTTTTTTTGGACCAAAAAATGTGTCTTGACACATGCAGAAAACCCGTCACCGTGTTTAAAGAGTATCCAAACCAAACTGAGAATTTCATGCATCCCACCTACACGTGGAAATCCCAGAGATATGTTGTTGGAATGGAATGCACACTCTCTCCCTGGAGGGTCACATCCCGTTTACCTAATTACAGAAAGATTAGGCACAGGTTGGCAAGAGCCAAGGGTTGGAGATCCCAGGGTGTATGGAGAGGTAACTGCTGGAGTCCAACCAGCTAACACCGTATAGCTTGCAATTGATAGCACCGTCTGATAGCTATCCCGCTGCTTGTCCAGCTAGGACCACCCTACCCAATAGGGCTTTGGCTTGCAGGGTTAATGGGAGCTGAGTGGGAAGATTCCCTGCCGTCAGTGACTAGACTGCCCTTCCAAGTGCTGCCGAGGAGCCACAAACCCGGTACAGAAGCAATCAATTTGACGATCAAGTTACTGCGCCACAGGTACCAACATAGATAAGGAGAAGGGTAAAAGGTTCTTCCACATGGCACTGGTTCAGCTGAGAAATGCAACAACAAAGTCAAACAGTTTGTAAACATCTGAAATACAAAATGTACAGTATCACAGCCGTTCAAACACCCTGTTCTATAGCTGTGCTTCTGACTTGAGGAATGCTCAATAATAATAAATAATAATTCTTGCATTTGATATAGCGCCTTATCACGTCAGTGAGACATCTCAAAGCATTCCACAGAATATATTTTAAAATGGATGGACTCTGTATTTTGTGGGCGAAAAGGGTTAGCCCAATTGCACACAGCGGTGTCCCACAAACAGTCGTGGAATGAATGACCAAATTATTAGTTATTTTGAAGAGGTTATTACCCATGGAAAATGATCCACCAATCAACTAACAACCAGGTTCCTACTGACTGCTGGGTAAACAGGAGTGTGGAGTTAAAACCTTGCCTCAGGTTTCTCCGTGCCTGGGAATTGAACCTGGGTCCTCGCGCTTGCGAGGAGAGAGTGCTAGCCACCATGCTACTGAACTCCACACACTCTTTTGTAACTGTCACCAAGGTCTCTTAAAAAAAAAGTGGCATTTCTTCCCACCCACCACACACAAAACATGACTTTACGATACTTATTGGACGAGCACTTTAGAAAGAAAGTGCTCCCTTCCCCAGTCAAATTATAACCTGGATCTCTGACAGGTCCTTGGCTCCAGGAAAAACATCTCAGAGGGTTACCAATGTGAGGATCTGAACAGAGGGAGCGTGGGATGATTCCAGTCTGAAGATGGTGTTGATCAAAATTATCCGTCCTTCAGATGAGACATTAATCCGAGGTCCCGACTGCCTGTTCAGGTGGCACTGTGCCCAGGCACTATTCGAAAAGAGAAGGGAGTTTCTCTCTCCCGGTGTACTGGCCAACAATCCCCCAAATAAAATTGGTCACTCACTCCATGGCTGTTTGAGGGACACGGCAGTGTGCAACTGGTTGCCACGTTTTACCCACAAAATACGCATTCAATCCATTTTACAGTTCATCCTGTGAAGCACTTTGAGACATCTCAACGACGTGATAAGGCGCTATATCAAATGCAAGGATTATTATTATTATGGCAGTGACAATACACACCTCATGCAGTAGCTTAATAGATTTATTTGGAAGAGTTTAACATTGGTGTCAGACTGAACCATCATACCTACACAGTGCTGGCTAGACATTTGCTCTCAGCTAGTCAGATTTTTTTTAAAAAAAGAAAAATAGTTCTGTCTCACTTAGTCTTATTCGGCTACCAAATGTGGCTTTCCAAATAAGTTGGATGTTTATCTTGGGCAGAATATGTACTAACCATGCAGGCACTAAATACTAATATATACCCAGAACTCCTGTGTTTCATAATAATATGATCAGATATTCATACAGAAGGTGAACTATGACAATACAAAGGCATTAGTTTGCTCTGACCTGGTTTTGTAAGCAATGTAACGAGCTGAGGTATTGAGGGGTATTGTGTAAGCACTGAACATTATAATAATAATAATAATAATCCTTGCATTTCATATAGGGCCTTTCACTTCGGGAGGACATCTAAAAGTGCTTCACAGGATTTACAGTGAAATGGAGTGACTGTGTATTTGTGGACAAAGTGGCAGCACAATTGCACACAGCAGTGTCCCACAAACAGCCATGGAGTGGGTGAGTGGCCAATTATTATTCGGGAGGATTGCTGGCCAGGATACCAGGAGAGATAAGCTCCCTTCTATTTTCCAATAGTGCCATGAGTTCTTTAACATCCACCTGAACAGGCAGATGGGACCTCGGCTTAACATCTCATCCAAAGGACAGCATCTCCGACGATGCAGTACTCCCATCACTAAATTGGAGCATCAGCCTAGATTGTGTGATTCCAATGTGAAGCTTGAACCCATAACCTTCTGACTCAAAGGCGAGGATGCTATCAGTGAGCCAGGCTTACTATTCTTCTCAGGCAGCACCAAGTCAATGCATCAGGGTTATAGCTATTAAATTGCAAGCGAGTCTGCATTAATCCATCTTCAGCTAAGATGCAAGAAATACGCTGTCTGATGGTTGTACACAGTCCCCCATCAGCAGGGCTGGCTCTGGCCGCCTGCCTTTAAAGCAGCGTGTGTTTAAATCCCAAACAAACATGTTACATTCACGGTAATCATCACCACCATCATTACAAAAAGAAAATCATGCTTTTCTTCCAATCCTGTGGAAATCTTAGCGAACTCTCAGCGGACGCGCAAGGGCACATGTACATCTCATGATTTATGGCCCATTCAATATACACATACACACATATACACACACACACACACAAAATCACTGAAGTTATATCTCCTTTAAAAATTAGCCCAAATAGCACCTTTTCCAAATGATCCTAAGACAGTCAAGATTAATCTGTTTCCTTCCAAAAACAAAGCACATGCAACCTTCTTTTACAATTTCACACTGAAGCAAAGGGCAATCAACACAGCACACATGCATTGATGGGATTGATTTCCAGGCACTAAGTTTTGCTTCCCGGGAAAAAAAAGGATAAAATTCAGCGGTCTGGTGTGAAGCGGGACAAGTGCAGCGAAGACGTGGAGCCAAGAGCAGCCTGTGTCTGTCTGTCTGCCTCGTCTGTAGCTCGGACCCTCCTCCCAGTCTCGGGCGTGCTGTAACCCTTGCCTCGCTCCCTCTCCTCTCCCGGTGGGATGAGCGCCAGGCGGACAGGCAGCGAGGGTTCAGCTGCATTATTTTTTCCCCCAACTAAAAAATATCCCACTAACTGCATAACGCATTTCCAAAGTTACCTCCTATTCCTGGCCAATGTCAGTGAAGCATTGGATTAATAATGGCAGGTAGCCTTAAAAATGATACACGCACAATTTTTCGCATTTCACATTTCACCCACCAAACACAAGTCAATCCACTTTACAGTGAAGCAAGAGCTTTGAGAGGTCTCGACGTCGTGATAATGCACTGTATCAAATGCAAGGATTATTATTCTGTGTGCATATACACAGACATATTTCATATTATATACTGTACATCAACAAACACACACACACACACACAGCTTGTCCAGTTTCCCTTTCTCTCTCCACAGCTGCAGCTGTCTTTGCCCACAGTCTGTGAGGCCCCACAGACAACATTACACACACACACACACATTGTCAGCACTTACCCTTTAACGCAGTCAACTCTGCTCCGGCCAGTGGACGAGAGGGTAAGAGACAGGGACAGAAGCTGGAGGAGGGGAGGGAGGGGAGGGATAGAGAGAGAGAGAGAGAGAGAGGGGGGAGAGAGAGAGAGAGAGAGAGGGGGGGAGAGAGGAGGGAGAAGGGGAGAGAGAGAGAGAGAGAGGGGGGAGAGGAGAGATTTAAAATAAAAGGTAGAATCCGATTTGCTTTTTCAAAAATAAAATAAGATTTTGTTTGAGAAGGGGGTGGAGGAGGGGTTGGAGGGGGTGGAGGGAGGGGGTGGATGGGGGGTGGAGGGAGGGAGGGGGTGAATGGGGGGTGGAGGGAGGGGGTGAATGGGGGGTGGAAGGAGGGGGGATGGAGGGGGTGAATGGGGGTGGAGGGAGGGGGTGGATGGGGGTGGAGGGGGGGGGGATGGAGGGGGTGGAGGGAGGGGGGATGAAGGGGGTGGATGGGGGTGGAGGGAGGGTGGAGGGAGGGGGGGGATGGAGGGTGGAGGGAGGGGGGATGGAGGGGGTGGATGGGGGTGGAGGGAGGGGGTGGATGGGGGGTGGAGGGAGGGGGGTGGGATGGAGGGGGTGGAAGAGAGAGATTGGGGAATTATTTATATCTTTGCACAGAAGGCACAGCTGCAACTGCGGCGCTGTCCCATCTCCTAGAACTCGCTCACTTGAGTTCCCAACTTCTTCATCTTGTTACAATGAAATAAGTGGAGACAACAGCCATTCAGGAGGCAGAGAGCCTCCCTCCCTCCCTCCTCCCTCCCTCTCATTCACTCACTCACACACTCCCTCTCTCTCACTCACACACACACACTGAGACCTCTCATGTGATTGA